ACTAAACCACTCCACCATCTCAATCTCCCTAAGACTTTGGATTCCTTCCTCTACATTAAACCAAGGGAGATCAGACATATCCAGCTCGCTCACAGTGGGCCATCTTTAATCCATATTTCAGCTTATTAAGCAAATAGACTATTAGAATCTTTTTTAACTCCTCAAGCTGAAACATTAAATGCAAAGTCCCTACTTAGTGGACCTAAATCAATAAATTCAGCCTGATCCAACTCTGTGTGCCCTTAATATGCATTCTTATGCCTGTTCTCCAGATTTCTGTGTCTGTAAGTTACATAAACAGAACTCAAGCAGTTCTTTTCAAGTGTAGCACACCTCCTCTTGGGTCACAGTCGCAACCCCACCTCTAGGCGCCCACTGGGACATTAGTCTAGTTATAGGTCTGGAAGCAAACAGGGGTGTTGTGGGTGGCTTCTGAGAAGAATCAACATTATCTTGACTGGAAAATGCCTCAGGGGAGGCCATCACTGTTGCCTCAGGCAGCACAGGGTTTATCTCCTCAAAGTGGAAAGGCTGATGGCAGCCTGGGTCCGGGAGGGGATGTTGCCACTACTGGGGATGGGAAAGCTGTTTCTTCTGACAGAAAAGTTTCATCAGAGTTTACAAACTCAGGGTCCTCGGCTTCATCAGAGTCCTTCCACACGTCCTCATTCCAAGTTGCAGGGTCTCAGTGTTTTCCAATCAGTACCCTCACTTTAACAGTAGACACCTGGCAAGGCTGTGCATATACATTTTGTTGCAGATCAGCCCCTTGCATGATAAGAGCTTGTGTCTGTTTTTCTGCAATTTCAGCTCTTTTTCAGCTCAGGAGCTAAGCTTCTTACTCTGGGCAATTTTGGCAGATTTGAGGCTCAGTATCTGCTTCTGAAGCCAGGAGACAGAATCCCTGAGTTCATCATTTTCTTTCGTCAGTTTATCCACTGAACTTAGGAGCAACCAACCAGCTTCATTATGTTCCTTGGTTCTCCACATATGGTCAACGGTATCATGCATAGAGTCACTTAACTCCTTGCTTCTCACAAGCAGTGAATCAGGAGTGTCAAATGCATTTATTTTGCATAACCCTCTAAAGAGTTCATGCCAAGGAATATCAGTGTTCTCTGCAGTATTACAAGTAGAGTCCTTAGCATTTTTGGGTCTAATCATATTAAGCAGCCAACTCCAGAAACCCCAAAACCAATGAAAGAATCCCATCCTTAATATTCTGTTCCTTTAGAACCACTCTTGGTACCAAAATCTGTATTAGTCAGGGTTCCCTAGAGGGATAGACCTAATATGATATACACAGTTCTAGCCATATATACATATATATGGATATATTATATCATATTAGTTCTTACATGATCACAAGTCCCACAATAGGCTGTCTGCAAGCTGTTCTTCTTGAAGAGCAAGAAGAACCAGTTTGAGTCTGAGAAGTGAAGAGCTTCTAGTCTAATGTTTGAGGGCAGGAGGCATCCAGCATGGGAGAAAGATATAGGCTGGGAGGCTAGGCCAGTCTTGCCTTTTCACATTTATCTTCCTGCTTTATATTCTCTGACAACTGATTAGATGGTGCCTGCCAGATTAAGGGTGGGTCTGCCTTCTCCAGCCCACTGACTCAGACGTTAATCTCCATTGGCAACACCCTCACAGACATACCAGGATCAATACTTTGCAACATTCAGTCCAATCAAGCTGACATTCAGTATTAATCATCACAGTCCCCAAACCATACTCTGTATTTACAAAAGCTCCAACTAATGTCCAACTGCAAGTGAACCAGAACATTTCTAAAACACAGATCTGAATTTGGTACAGAGTAAGTGAGCAGGCCTCCTATCGTCTCTGCTCATTCTTTGCAGCACTTACAGAATTTTATTGGCAAACCGACCTTGCTCTTCATTTCTCTTCTTTAGATATGGTTGTATGTGTATTAAAATTTAAAAGCTTCAGATTTGATGGTGTGGTTACTGTGTATATAATTTATGTACTTTTCTTGGTTTTGATAACAGACAGAAAGGGAATTGAGATTTACGTTTCTGCTACTTTTGCGTGTGCCGACCAGAAGGAAAACTTTTATGTTGGGAAAATGAAGTATGTTTGGTTAAGTATGATACATGTATGTGCACTTGGGTGTGCATGCATATATATTAAAAAATTCCCATATGTGTATATATACATATATGTGAATGTATATTACATATACATACACACATATGTATCTTAGCCAAACACATATACATATATGTGCAGGTATATATGCATACACACATTGTATTTGCTTAGAGTTTGTAAAAGCATAATTTATGGCAATGTATACATGGACTTATTTATATTGTTAATAGAAAAGAAATGTTTTTCATCCCTGAATATACTGAATTAGTACGAGGAGAACGTGACAGGAAAAAGAGAAGGAAGGGGCTTATGACTGGAATTATGAGATACACCAAGAACGTGTTTGGAATTCTTTCAAGTGGAAATGACAGACAACTAAGACTAAACTTTATCGAATCATTCTAGTTACTCCAGACAAATGCCTACCTCCACACATGAATGATGTGATATTTTAACAGCAACATAGAAAGATTGTAGTAATTAAGAACAGAGTTATTATGTTTCTGGTAAGATTTGATTTGGGTTTTAAGTAAACTCCTGGGGGATTCACCATATCCAAAATACATCTCAAAACAAATGAAAAGGCTGATCCCTCATCTTACAGATTAATTTTATTTCTTCAGATAGTTCAAATAAACATTACACATGAAGGAGACACTGATTTTCATATCCAGAAATAAAATTAGAGGGGGGAGGAGGAAAATGAGGAGGGGAGGGAGAGTGGGTGGGAATGAGGAGGGAGCATGGGAGAGCAGGAAGAAAGGATGAGGTGGGGGAAGGAGGGAGGTTGGAACTGGTGGGGAGGCAAGGAGGGAGGTCAGGTGAGTAAAAGAGTGGGAGGCTTGGGGGAAGATTTGGAAAGAGAGGGAAGGAAGGTGATGGGGCAGGGAGAGGGGTGTGTGTGGGTGGGTGGGTGTGGGTGTGTGTGTATTGGGCTCAGAGAAAGAAATTATATAGTGTGTAGTATAAAATCTAGCTCTTTTTTTTTCTTCTTTATTTTTTATTTCCATAGGTTTTGGGGAACAGGTCGTATTTGGTTGCATGAGGTTTTTTTTTATTATTATTTTTTATTTTTTTTATTTTTTTTATTGTACTTTAGGTTCTGGGGTACACATGCAGATCATGCAGGATTGTTGCATAAGCAAGGAGGTCCGTCCCCCCGTCACCTATATCTGGCACTGCAGTGATGCTAAATGCTCATTTTCACACTAAATTGGGAAGCTCCCTTTGCATCTGAAGCAAAACAATGTATCTTGTCCATAATTGGACATGAGGATAAGTGCCAAATTCTTAGCGTCCCGGCTTACTTAGGGCATATGTTCTGGGCATAGCAGTCTCTACAGGACTGGTGGGAAACCCGAGTGAGGGCTCACAGTATGGTTAGTGTGAGCTGGTATGCATATCCTGCCCTTAGACTGCTCTTTTGAATATAACTAGGTTATGCTAGTTGTGCTTCTTGGTGCATATTCAAAGATATATTGATGTCTCCTGGGTAATGCTGACATGCTATGCAGCTGTGTATAGTGTTATAATAATAAATTTGATGTCTGTAAACTACTTGGGGCTATAGAGTCAAACATGTTACAGGCATTTTTTTCTAATGCATAAACCCAGCGAGGCACAGTGACCCATGCCTATAATCCCAGCACCTTGGGAGGCCAAGGCAGACAAATCACCTGAGGTCAGGAGTTCGAGACCAGCAGGATCAACATGGAGAAACCCCATCTCTACTAAAAATATAAAAAATTAGCCAGGCATGGTGACTCATGTCTGTAATTCCAGCTACCCAGGAAGCTGAGGCAGAAGAATCACTTGAATCCCCCGGAGGGAAGAGGTTTTGGTGAGCCGAGATCACGCAGCTGTACTCCAGCCTGGGCAAGAAGATCAAAACTCTGTCTCAAATAAAAAAAAAAAACCACATGTAAAGGTGG